AAATCTCTTTGTGGCTGACTACTGCATCCCAATCCCAGCATACTTTGCCTGATTTGCTGCAGTCTCCTAGCACAGAGCAAGAAACATGCACTAAATAAAGATCGATTTTGTTTCAATCCTTCTGGGTCTTTCCCGGCCAGTAAAACACTGCTTGTTACTGACCTAGAAATGTTATTACCATAGCAGATAATAGGGCCACCACTTTTCTGTTTCCATCGTTTTATTTCTTCCCTTCTCTGTCCTCTACATGGAGCATCACTACGTGCAGCGAGACATGTCTTTGCTCTAAGAATGGCAGAACTATGGTAGGATTATAATTCAGATAGTAAACTGCATGTCATTGCCTGAATTATATTAAACTCCACAATAACTGGAAGCAAGATCTTCTGGCTAACAGCTATCTAAAAGAATTCTAAATTGTTTGATGAATGCAGAGTACTGGACTCTTCCTTGAATGATATTTATTTCTGAGAGATTGTGTGTAGATCTGATCTGTTTTTGGTGAATAATAAATCACTGCTGACTCTCCAGCACAGTTCCTGCATATTGTTTTGCATGGAGGGAGGCCAGATAAGGGTAACTGGGAATTGAAAATAGCTCAGCGTGTTTTGTATGCCTGATTCTGAATCAGAGTCTGAATCAGTATATTATTCTCTTGTAGTCAGAATCAATTTACCTCACTTTGTGTGTTATGACTGAGCATTAAATAAGAACCTGTATTGTGGACCTTGTTGTGGTTATTTAATTATTTCACTATGAATTACTGCTTTTTAATCCTTACTCACAGCCTCAGTAATAATTACTTATTAAGCGTCATGCATTCGTTTGGATAGTCTTCAGCAGACAATGAATTTAGTTCAAATCAATGTGAGTATGGAGGCAAATCACATGTTGGTTAATTTGTCTGGATTTCCAGTTATTTGCCAGTTTCAAGTTCACTCCGATGAATGATCAAAAAGCAAACAATCACAATAAACTTAATATAACCCTATTTTTAAGCCAACAAACATAAAGTGCTTTACTTTTAATCACTGGTTTCCGTAGGAAGTGTCAAAATCCTTGTCTCAAAATCCAAGGTGCTATCTTTAAAAATTTCCCTTCAATGTGAAATGAATTTATTATTAATTTAGTTACTTATAGATTACTAAACAAAACATTAAGATGAATTGAGCAAATTTTCCTTTGTTGAACAAATTTCCCTTCATTTACTAATTTTATCAAAAGGAAGAAACAAGCATGAAATAATTTTATTCCCCTTTATGATTAATTTGGGAATGGAAGTAGATATGGCATATTATGAGAAATTAATCTCTGGAATGCACAAAGTATTTCTTAACTTTCAATTCAATGACAAGTGCCAAATATGTGATGCAGAATTGAACAGAATGACACAGATAATTTCTACATTCAAGAGTACCCAGTGAAGGAATAAAGTAATTACATTTATCTGGAGTGGAATCTTACAGGGGTTTGAATAATGTGGGCTATATTGAGAAATGTGGCAAAGTTGTATGAGAAATCTAGCAAGGCCTGCCTTAACTTTGAGGGCAACTCACTACATCTTTTAAATGAGTTCTGAGTGTCACAGTAAGATTCGCAACAGGGAGTGGCAAGTTGCCTATTAAGTGGGATTATGCCTAGTTAACAACCTTATTAATGGCACATCTCACCTCATTAACATGGAGCTTCCTATTTTACCAAATCCAGTGAGCAAACTAGATGCTGAAAATTCTTAGAAGTCAGAAATTTACCTGGTGACTTTGGCTGGCTGCCTACTCCAAGACTTCTGTATTGGATACCAGGCACCAACATCTTGGGGCAAGGTCCATGGGTACTGGCCAAATGCGCCCCCCCCCACCCCATTCCATTGACATTAGTATCCAACATGTGCAAGCTTCTAAGATCCCTCATGACATATGCTGTGTCGTTTAGTGCAAACACATATTTCCAGAAAGTTTGTTATGTTTGTCAGCAGTCCTCAGTCAACTCAAGGGCAGCCTCTGAAACCAGTCCAAGGGCTTGGACATCATCAGTCAGCTGCTTGTGTTAGTTTGCACTGTAGGAATTCAGTGATTCAAAGTCAGGATCCTCTCCTTGTAAGGGAGATGGAGCTGAATGTCAGACAGCCCACCACCTGTCCTGACACTTCCTGCTCTATTGTGTGCTGTTGTCATCCTGAAATGAGCGACTGGCAGTTATTAGGGAGATGAAAGTGGGGGGATCAGCCAGTACTTTTGGTGCAGATGAGGCGGTATTCCCTGCTGAGTGAGTTAGTGCAGGGTAAATGGTGTCTGGATTTGGGGTGGCTGATGGTGAGGCAAGATGCTGCAGGCAATAGTGAGAGTGGAAGAGCGAGAACCTTGATGGGGGGTGGGTATGGTGGCAGAGATTAAGTGAATGTGAGTTAACAAAAAGAAGGTAGTGATTATGCTGGTGGTGTGGAGAAGATCATTCACCTTCTTCCTTGAGTGCTATGCATTCCTCCAGATGGCTAAGACTGCACACTGAGCCAGGAGATAACCTCAGACCAAGTTAGCATGGTATGGCATTGTTGCCTACACTGCAGGTCCTGGGAGTTGAGGTTGTCCCACCTCTGCACCACCCATTTAGCAGGATCTCCTGATCTCTGCCTCCATAATGCAGGGTATCAAATTTCCCTTGTCTCTCATGTCCAGGGCAAAAATCCAGAACCACGCAGGGTAGCCCTGGACTAACTGTTTTTGTCCCAGGTGTTCTAATTGCTTTTTAGGCTACGAGGAACGGCAGCCCCTTCTAGGATATCTCAGCAGTGGCAAGTTGTTCCGAGAATAGCACCTAGTAACATGAGCTATAATTGGATTACAGGGGTTCTATGTAGTTAAAGAGGTGAATTTGATAAGATATGGTGAGAAACCCTCCAGAAAACTTGATGAAACTGACACAGCCAAAAAATTGTCCACCACAATTCACAATTAGATATGGCAGGATTGCAGAACTTAGATCTGATCCATTGGCTATGGCATCACTTAGCTCTGACTATTACATGTTGCTTACACTGTTTGGCATGCAAGTCCTATGTTGTAGCTTCACCAGGATGATACCACATACTCTTGGCATGCCTCCTGTACTCTTCATTGGGCCAATTATGGTGGTTAAACTCAGTTATGGTCATTGACCAGAACTTCATTAACTTAATTTACTGAAGCTCAGTGTTTACTGGGTAGAAGCTCTCAAAAAGGAGCTTGTAATATTTATAATGATATGTCACAAATGGTAGTAGTTTCTTTGGATGGGATGGTTACCAGTTTTGTATTGCCTTTTCACTTTTAATATATTCTCCTGCTATATTGAGTGGGCTTCTGCTAAGTTTGCATCCATCCACCTGCAAGTATTGTTTTTTTTCTCTATTGTGAAAGGCAAAAATGAGAAAGATCACTGCATGTAGAAAGATTCTACCACTGAACAGTAACGTGGTGCGATGTACTGAATCCCTATATTGTACTTGAGAGTTCTGGGTTTAAGTTAATTCAAATCTCTTTTTGATTAAACAAACAAACAAAAAATGCATGAATACTCTCAGACAGCATTAGTAGAGAGAGAAGCAGAGTTCATTTTCCAGTTTGTGACCTCATCAGAACTGGGGTTAGTCAGATGTGTAATAGATTTTCAGCAAGCAGAGGGTGAATAAGGGCAAAAGGAGAATTTGTGATAGAATGGAAGACAGTCTTACAAAGAGGAATGATGATGGACCGAGGAAAGGAACCAAGAAATGAAAGCTGTGCCCCAATCAATAAATGAAAGTGACAATAAGAGAAAAACTGTGTGAAGAAAGCAAAGTCAGCAGAGACAGAGTTTACAGTCTAAAATGATTGAACTCCACATTGAGTCTGGTAAGCTATAAACTAAAAAGGGCCCATTTGAAATTTGAGGTACTGTTCCTCAAGAATACATTGAGCTTCACTGGAAAAGTGCAGTAGGCCAAGGACAAAGAGGTCACCGTGGTAGCAAGGTGGAGAATTAAAATGACAGGCAGTTGGCAACTTGGAACATGTTTGCGGATTGCAGGGGATTTATCACAAACTGGTGACCCAATCAGCGTTTGATCTCCCTGGTGGAGAGGCACCCACACCATCAGCAATAAATACAGAAGCATGAATTCAAAATAAAATATGCAAATTGTTGCCTCATGTGGACAGAGTGTTTGGGGGTCTTCAACAGTGAGGTCAGGGAGGTAAAAAGCCAGGTGTTATATATCCTGCGTTTGCAAGGACAGGTGCCATCTAAAGGGGCTACACATGGTGTTGAGGAATAGTGAAGTGGACTAGAGTATCATGGAAGGAATAGTCCCTTGAGAATGCTGAAAGGGGAGGTGAGGGGCAAATATGTTTTCAGTAGGATCATGCTGGAAGTGGCAGAGATGGTGGAAGATGATTAATTGAATATAGAAGCTGGCGGGGAGAAGGTGATGACAAAGGGAACTCTATTGTGATTCAAGGAGGGTGGAGAAGAGGTGAGTAGATATGTGGGAATTGCGGTAAGCATGTTGGAGAGCCCTTTGTTGCACTTCACTTGAGGAAAAACAACGTGTTTGCAGACTTGTTGGGTTAAAATATGTTCTCTAGCAGTAAATGGACTCAAAGCAAACTGCTTTATAATCCATATTATTCAGCATAATAGTTTAGTGTTTGCTACATACAGTGTTTACCACATTAAATTCTGGTGGCTTATCGATTAATTTCTCTAATATTTATACATTGTAGCAGTAATTTAGTTAGCTACCAGTTGCGGTACACTGACAAGTGTGGCTCATTGATATTATTCCTCCTTAGTTAACCCATACAGACTGTTGTATTGTTCAAAATCCACTAACCTTATGTGTTTTATCTATTCAATAGAAGATTTCATTTGATTTGTAGTTGTGACGAGATATGCAAACCCATGAACTAAGCTGCAAGTTAACTTTGTTTTGCCTTTTTAAATGGTTAATTTCTATTGTTTCTTTACCCCTCCTCTTCTTTCAGTGTGCTGGGTGAGGGCAAACTGGACCCATATGTCAGTGCTTTAGGATGGCCAGTGACGGCTCGAACATTACCAGTCCTGTGGTACGTCAGATTGACAAACAGTTTCTGATCTGCAGTATTTGTCTGGATCGTTACAAAATTCCTAAAGTTCTCCCCTGTCTTCACACCTTTTGTGAGAGGTAGGTAACCACTTTTTTAATTTGACTGAAAAGTTTCCTCAAAGACTTCGGTTTTTTTGATATTTTATATTACCTTCAAAAAATGCAAGAAATAAAGTGCTGTTTCAAAATTACTGTTTCTGTTTTGTTGGTCTGTATAATTTGTGTGAACATGATCAGACTCAGACCTTTTAGTTATTTGCTTTCTAAGCAACAGATTTATTGGAATTTGATATTGATGGAAGTTACACATGAAGTCTTTAGTAAGGAAGTAGCACAAAAATCTATGCTGGATCAATGGGCTAGATGAACGTACTTCAGTGTTCTGTGTAATGAAGGCTTCGTCTTCACTTCATGAATGAACCTTTGTGACCTATGAATCTCTTGTTTCTTCTATTAAATTTGTTCAATACAAGGTGTCAGATATCTGTCCAGAGTCTGGGTTCCAGGAAAAGAAGATATGGCTAAACATATCTTTTTTCACAGTCTGTTGATATCAACACAGATTTGTAGTTATCTAACACTAGGCCGGTTTCTTGAGAATACTTCACAGATGACATTATATTTCACAGCATGTATTCCAGCAACTGGTACACTGACTTTCCCAATGGTAGCCAAATCAAAAATGCTAATATGTTTGCTAGACTGTGAATTACAACATCAAAGCACAGAATTACTTTTAGAGGGAGTCTCTTCCATCAGTATGGTATCCACAGAAACTTACCCAAGTGATAATCTGCTGCTGAAAGACTAGAATATAGATGCACTATAGAATTGCCACAAGATGGATGAAACATGGCAATATAGGTTTACAGAGCTATTGGCTTCTCAAACAACTAAAACTGTCTTCTGATCTACTCTGTAGTTTTACAGCATTATGTTTTAAAGCTCATTGAAAGTTTATGAGCAATTCAAGATTCAAGCAAAAAGGTTCATCTTGCTTCTGATGACTAGCAGCTCTTTGAGAAATATGAGAATCCTCTGGTTGCCCATGACTGCAGGAAAGGTACTATCCTGTCCATGGAAGAAAACCCTGGTCTTAGAACTAATTGTGAGGTGACTTTATAGAGGCATATATGACCACCAATAGTATACAAAAAGTAAATATTGAATACCACTGCAAAGTAAACTGTAAAAGGAGGGCAAAGGGACACAAGGTTAAACTTTTTGAAAGCAAATAGGGATCAGATATCAGAAAGTTCTACACAAAATAAACAGTTGGCATGTGAATGAACTAGTGGACAAGTTAGTGGAAATGAATTTAAGGAATAATGGAATGCTGTAATGGGAGGATGTGATGTAGAATTTTCTGGTTGAGTGACCTTAAGTGGTCTGAGTGGTTTCCTTGTCTCCTGTTTTTGTGCAGAATACTAAAGCAAAAGTGATAATGTAATTAGAAGGTGCTACCTAGCTGTAAACGATACCCACAAGATACTGCAACAAGACATGCAAGAAGCAACTGAAGGTGAAATGTACTGAATTTGACTAACTGAACCCCTGTGATGCCTGAGTCATGCATTTTTTTGGGAACAGATTATATTCAGGTGGAATGATTTATGTATATGGGGCTAGAATTTCATACATACCCACTTTAGGATCAATTCCTGCATCTGGGTGGATGAGGCATGAAGCATCCTGGCATTTGGTCTTGCCCCTCAATTACATTGAGCCAGTCAGCTGCCAATTGTAGCAGGCACCTTGCAGAGACATATGACTGTTGGCATCACAGCATTCTTTGGCTAAGTGAAGAAGTGGACTGGAAAGGGAGGATGGCTGGATGGAGGTGGTAAATGGTGGTGATTAGGAGGGCCCAAGTTGTTTTAATATGGTGGAGCTACTCAATCCTGTTCCTCCTGGCTCCACATTGATGTTTTAGAAGTATTTATGAACTTGTTCATTGTAGCAGGACCCACTTGCTAGCCTGCATTTGGACCCTGGTTTTCAATAGGCAGATTGCTTTTGCACTGAATCTCTGATATATTTACCTTAACAATGCAGGGCACTTTCAGCTAATATAGTATGTGCACATAATGGCTGTCACATTCAGAAACCAGTTACCACTCAAAAATAATGGGTCCTGCACTAAAAATGAAATATGGATGTCAATTGTCTAGAGATCTTGCTAATTTTCAAGGTGTTAGATAATAGGTTGTCACTAATGCTGCTTCTAGTTTCTCTTCACGGTGAGTAGCCTGTGAGACCTGGCCATTTTAAACAATAACTGCTTCCGTGCAATCTATTGACTCTGAGTGGAATATTCCGGAGTTTAGAAGG